ATGATTGTAACTATTATTAAATATGTGATTAACTCGGTTTTAGTTTTTAAAGGTTAATTTTTATTCTGATCAAACCAATTTAAATATTTACTTTAAATGATTTATCGTCTATATTTAGCTGAATTTGATCCGAGTCTTTTACCTCTTCCATGTAAGACCGTGATAATATAAAATATTTATTAATTTCATGTAAAATTTCAAATAATTACTTATTTACTCATTTATTATTCATTTGTTGTTATAGCATCATCAACTAAACAAGCTACACAACGTCTTTATCGAGAATTGAGATTAATTGTACATAAACAGGACACTTCTTCTAACGATTTAGGTTTTTTTGTAAAGCTTGACCAACTGCATTCTATCTATCAGTGGGTTGGTATAATCTCTTTTCGTTTATTTATCCGTATTACTTGTATAATAATTTAATCTATTAAAAAAGGTTGTGCAGCTTAAAAATTTTGACCCCTCTATTCCCTTGGCCCAAGATATGGCACGACATAATGTGGAAAGCATTGAACTTGAAGTTCGTTTTGCTCCTGATTATCCAAATTTGCCTCCGTGTGTTTTTAAAAAATTTTTTTTTAATTTTATTTCTTGAAATTATTCCTCTTGTATTGGTATATTTCATATTTAATTTTTGTTTTGTCTTTTTTTTTATTATTATTTATACAGTTATATTCGTGTCTTACGACCAAGGCTTCTGAGGTTTATGCATGGTGGTGGTGGCCATGTGAGTGTTTAATTTCTGATTGTTAATGATTAGATATTGTACCCGTGAGAAAATTTCCATCTTGGTATTATATTAAATTACTCGGTTTATTAAGACGAGAATGATAACCAAATGGTTAATAATTAAATTATCTGGGTTAACAGAATCTTTATTAATGAAAATGATTACTAAATTTGTTATATTTAAAACAGGTGACAGCAGGTGGTTCCGTTTGTATGGAATTATTAACATTGGGTAATTCTCATGATCGAGGCTGGTATCCAGAATATACTATGGAGGCTGTATTGTTACAGGTATGTCAAAAAATTTATAAATTTTACATTTATATACTCATACGTCGAATTGATTTGATTATTCTTTTATTATAAATCTTTTTTTCTTTAGGTGAAATTAGCGTTGAGTTCTTTGAATCCACCAGCCAGACTTGATAATGATTGGCGAAGAGACTACAATGCGTGAGTAAGTTATTATTCCTTTTTATTTTTTTTCATTAATTTTATGAAATTTATATATATGTATATATATTTTTAGGAGGCAATGGACGGCTATATTAGGTCCGCCAATCTTCACGGATGGGTCATTCCACCTCATTGGACTACTTTATTCAAACGTTAATAGATTAACATTATTATAGACTGATTCCTATTAGTATATATGCTTTTCCATTTTCGAATGTCGATAAGTTATAATAAAGGTATAAGTTAAGGAGCAAGTGATACTTTTTTTTTTTTATTCTCGTTAAGATAGTGAAAATTTTTTCGATCTTTTTCTGTAATCGCTTATTCATGAAAACGAACAATGTTAACAAATTTATTGTGATCTGATATAGTGGGTTTGCAAGAACACAATAAGGGATTCGTTATATTTAATAATATAACATAAGCTGTAATTATTTTGTTAATAGCAATTGAAACATTTACCATAATGAATGCATATTCATTCCAATTTATTATTATAAATGTTACAATTTTTGGTTCCGAACCTGGAGTTGTGGAATCAAAATTTGAATCAATTTTGATTGGACATTTTTTATCTTATATGCACTACTTTTGTATTTATTTATTTATTTATTTATTTTTATAATTAGGTAATTAATATTATTACTTCTTAATTTTACAAAATCTTAAAACATGGTAAAATCGTTCCAATCTCAAACCCTCAAGTTTTTATAGAGATTGCTATTTGTATCTCTTTCTACGAATGTTATATTGTTTTTTTTTTTATCTTGTCTTGTACTGTATTTCAAACACCAAGTATTTATCGAGGAATGTAATTAGGCACCAAAACGTAATCCCCGATTTTTCGATAAAAAATCAATAAATAAATAATTATTCTTTTTATCTACGCTGTAAGAATTTTTTTTAAAAGTAATAAATATTTTGTTAAACTTCATGAACGTTCTATACTATTCAACTCTTAGCTTTAAGTATACTAAATTATGGATGATTTACGTCATTAGGCATGCCGATATTTTTATATTTTCGTCATTCTACTTTAAAATAATGCCTATATGTCGAAATTATTGAAACTGGGTTATCAGAATCAATTGTCCCAGTGAAAATTATATATTTTAAAATATAAATATTAAATTTTCTATTCATATAAAATTAAAAAAAAATATTTATTAGGGGCAGTGATATTTATTACGTAATATCTTAGGAGGGAAGGGGTTTAAAGAAATATTATATGATACGTATTTAACTATATAAAATTGATTAATTATAAACTTATATGATGTGGGGGGAGGGACGGGTACCGAAAGTTCATTTAGCCGACATCACATGGGGTTAGGGTTAGGGTTTTATTAGTTTCAGGTATATATTTTTAGTAAATTGTCACTTGGCGTGATGTCGGCTAAATGAGCTGTCGATGAAATGATTGTCGGTGAAATGATACGGATCCGGGAGGGTAACCTCATCGTAAAAATAATATTACGTAATATATGTCACTGCCTTTATTAAAACTTTGAATTTTAGATTTTTATTATGTTTTTACTAGTAAAATTTGTTATTGAATTATAAATTTTATGTTATATTAAAATATATATTTTTATAAAAATAATTTTTTATTTTATATTGCTTTTAAAATATGATAGTAATGCTATTAAATAATTATAGTTAGATTTTTTTAAAAAATTTTTAAAATTTTGTATTTAATTTTAAAGTCAAATTTACAAATTTTATATGGTTTATTTATAAAATTTTGAATTGTAAATTTTATAATTTAAAAAAAATTTTTTTTTTTTTATAATTCAGCAGTCATGCTGTAACTTTATTTAAATTTGTTTTATAAGAAAAACAATATTATATGGTTAAACCTTCTAATATCTAATTTTTTAAGTTCTAACTTATTTAGTTATCCTAATAATATCTATATACGATCTACTATAGTGATTTTTATTCTAGATTATTGTTATTGTATTATAACAAAAACAAGTTCTCATAGAATAGATATTACAGTCTACTTTTATAACTAATTAATTTTAAAAAAAAATTCAATTCAATTTGTTTAGTTTTATAAAACTTATATATTTTAGATATAAATAGAAAATTGCTATTTGTATTATAAGATTTTGTTATTTATATTTTATAATCAAATATTTGTATAATAAATTAATTATTCAAATAACTTATTTATAAACTTTAAAATATTTTTTAAAAATATAATATTTTACTAACAAAAAATACAAATTTTTATTATTAATACTTTGTAAAAGTATTAATATTTAGATGTTCTATAGAATAGGTAAGCAAACTCCACTAAACTCTACTGAATATATTAAAAATTAATGATTACTAATCATTAGCGAAGCTTATTTTTTATATTGCCTACCTATTCTATAAAACATCCTTAATATTTAGTATATAAAGAATTTTAAAAAGATCTCAAAACTAACTGACTTTGTTTAGAAATAAAATATCTATTATAGAGTTATATATAATCACTATATATAATAGAAAGTTGATCAACTAGAAAATAATAACTAAATATATTATTTCTAAAAATTAAACTAGCAATATTTTACTTTACTATATTTAACTAGAAGATACTATTTGTTTAAACTATTATTACAAGTATATAATCATCTTAAAATAATATAAATAATATAAGATACAAAAAAGAAGTTCTTAATAGTATTCAAGTAGAATATTACTTCACTATAGCAGTTTATTACAAAGTTTATAAAAGAGTAAAGATTATATTTTTTTTACAATACAATATTGATAATATAAAACTATTTATTAGTTACTATATTAAAAGAATTCTAATATTAAGAAGATTATAAAAAACAAATCTAACCTGAAGTAAAAAGAAAAAGTGAGATTTATATAGCTTTTTACAATTAAAAATAAATAGTAAAAATAGTAAAAATAATAAAAACAGTAAGAATAGTAAGACTAGTTTATTTCTATTAATTATTCTTACTATATATTCTATCTGTTTTAAAGCTATTTTCTATTATAAATTATTTGTAATTAAGATATATTCAAGAAGATAATAAACTATATTAATAATTTATAACAATAATTAAATAAATAAATCTTATTTTGTTGCAATAACAAAATTAAATAATAAAATATAAATAATAAAAATATATATAGAAAACTCATCTTATAATATTTCTAATCAACAAACTCTTTTTATAGATTCTAATTTCCAAAAATAAACAAAAACTGAAAACATAATAGCCTTATAGCTTTGTCAAAAACTAATATATTAACAGCTAAATAAACACTAATATGAAAGCTAGAGCATCTTTTCAGAAAAAGTTTCAAGAAAAACAAACAAAAACTACTAAAGTTTTTAGCTAATTTTTCTTAAAAAAATTTCTAAATGACAAAAAAGTGAGAACTTGTTAACTCCTAGTATCACAGATCCTTTAGATTATACAATATATACTACATAGATTTAGAAGTAAACAAATACATATTTTATAAAATAGAGTATATACATCTATTTAAAACTAGACAATTTCTGGAGGCTCAGATTTATTTAAGAAAATTATAATAATAAATCAGAAAAAATATAGACTATAAGAGTTAAAAATATAGTATATATAGTTCTAAATATATGATCTTAATTGAGATATGATAAAAAAGATTCAAAGAGATAGAAGAATATATATCTAATCTTGAGAATAGCTAAGTAAGTTTCAAAGCTAGTATTCAAGAAAGAAAAGATAGAATTAAGTTTTTCTTTAAAGAAGAATTTTTACAAAAACTTATTAGAAAAATTGATAGAATTAAAAGAAGTTAAGAAAAAATAAATAGTTATATTTCAAGAATCACAGAAATTAAAATAAAAATTATCTCAACAGCAAGAGCTTGGCAAAAGATTCTAAAAAAAATAATAATTGAAGAAGGAAAAGCAATATTGGATATTGTACTTGAGGAACTAGAACAAGAGCTTCAAGCAATAATAGAAAATATAAAGAAAAGATCAAGAATAGAGAAAAAAGAAGAGTTAGAAAAAACAAAGATCTTTAAGATCAAATATACAAATAGATAAGAAGAATTACTAATCTTAGAAGAGACAAAGATTCATGAGAAAGGGAGTAGAACTAAATCTATTATTACAAAAGAAATTGAGGAAATTAAAGATAAGAGAAAAAATAAGAAAAAAATAGCAGTCGAGATTTTACTTAAAGAAAACAATATTTTATCTTAACAAAAAATATAAGAAATAAATATAAACAAAGAGATAATAGAAGAAAATTCTTTACAATTCTTACATAAACAAGAAATAAATATAGAACTACTTCTAAAAAGTCTTCTCAAAATAACTAAAGATAAAATCCTAGCAGAATATTAGGAGGTTCTACTAGAAATATCATAATTAGAAATTAACTACTTGAAAGAATATTAGAAAAACCAAATTGAATATGTAGTGGTAACATATAAAGAAGAAAGAAGCAATTCTTAAGAGAATAGTAAATAGGCTCTAAATAAAAATATATGCAAAGAGCAAGAAGAATTTAGAGCAAAAATAGTAGCTTTCTTCTTTTTTAGAAAATCTAAAAAAGAAAAGATTAAATTTGTAAGAGGAACTATTCACAAAGTTGTTATATAAGTATAATAGAGAAAAGCTTTATAAAAGGCAACTCTTGAATAGTAATCACTTTTGACTGTATAAAAGAAAAACAAATTATAGAAGAAAAATTAAAAAAAAAAAAAAATAGAGTAGTATAAAGTAATATTTGAAAAGACAAATTCAAATATTATAATAACAAAAAATATAAAATACAAAAATAAAAATGAACTAGAATTTAAAGACAAAAACAAAGATATTTAACTTTACAACTCTTTTCACTAATTATCATAACCAACACTAAAGCAAAAAACTTTTTATAAAACAAGTATTAAACTCAAGAAAACCTAGTAAAATATTGGTTCAAAACAGAAGTATATGGTGTATAGTTCTATAAGACCTTTAAGGCAATAAGTAACAAAAAGCTAAAG